CCCCAAAACCCCAAAACCCCAAAACCCCAAAACCCCATGAGTGCAAATAATCCAGCCAATAGACCACACAATCTGACATATGAAAAAGTAGGAAAATTGAATTATATAAGTGATTGACTCATCACTTTTATAATATAAATCGCTATAAATTTATACAATCAGAAACATATTATAATCTAAATTGCTGATAATCTAAAATGTCTTTCAGTATATTCAATTCAGGCTATTACCAGTCCAAGGAAACCCTCTCAGTACCCATAGATTCTTCTCCGCACAAGGATATTCATGAGATTTACCCCAATGTAAGCTAAATAAGATTATATTAATACCTTATTGCAGGAAAAATCGTTTTTAAGTGATTTCAACATCGAGGAAGAGTTGTTTGCTGGCATGGGAGGAAGTGGTGCTCATCAGGGCTTCAACGGAAGTGCCTTCGATAAAAATAGGCTGAGTGATGGTCTGCTGCCTATGTCCAACAGAGGTGGCTAAATACACCCAGATGCTAAGTAAATGAGGCAGCAGTAGCCTTACGCATAGCAAATACCTCATAAAAACAACGAAATGTTTAACAAATTAGTGGGCACCAAGCGAAGGAAACTTGCCAATTCGAAAGAATAAGATGATTAAGAGCTTAAATTTGAATACCTTAATGATCCAAAGATGCAAAATATGCAAGGAATCTACTCTTAATAGCAATATATATACGAAAACAGGGTATTTCAACCACAGACAGGCCATTAAAACTATAACAAAGGCGAGTATGAATCACAAGTCAATATTAATTCATCCTCGTCTATGATGGATCCTACATTCTTACCAAACCCAAAGCACTTAGCCAAAAGGCATAGCTAAGATGAGAACACCAGAACTGGGGGATGCACAGGAGGCGCTACTAGCTATCAATCCTCTATTCGCGCTCTTGAGCATGATAACTACACTGATTAAGATGACAACTATTATATCACTAATGAGTCAGGTGCGAGCTTGATAGACACAGAGGATTTTAAAAAAATTAAGAAGCGCATGCAAAATAAAGAAAGTGCTGTGAGATCAAGAATGAAGAAGAAGGCCTACTATGATTAAATGGAGTCACAGTTTAACAACATTTCTCAAGAAAACAACAAACTCAAGCTTGACAATGCTGCTCTGAGGGCCGAGAACCAACTGCTTAAAAGATACCTTAACTATTTCGAGATACTTTTTGCAAAGAAGACCACACAACCTTCACCAATGAATCCTCTAACAAATTCTACAAAAGACTCTATCAGTACTCACGGAGGATATACCCCAGCTATGCACTCAAACCCTTCGTCCAGATGTGGAGGCTTGAGTGATGATGAAATATATAATGGCAAGCAACAACTTTACCCCTTCAACATCAGAAAGAGATAGCATATGAACAGAAACTAAGCGTCTCTCTAGGGAGGCCTTATCTCTTCTCATCATGATGAAGTTTACTCACAAATGAGTGCTGATAATGAAGCTTCAAGAGGTGTAATATCCTCTAAAAAGGACATAAAGAGTGCAAAGGATGTTAGCTCTGAGGTTAGTTTCGTTTTGGCAAGAAAAGGCAATGAGTCTACAGGCTCTAGCAGTCCAGGCAAGTTCGGCATGTTTACTATTGCTTTGGTAATGTGCGTTTGCTGCTTCTCCTCCTTCTTCTCAGCAGGTGGTTCAGATGACTAAATTGGCTCTACCACCAGATACAACGGTCTTGGAAGAAATATCATGGGCTTCAACGGTAATAAAGCTGGGGTCGATGCATCATTAAACAATAATCAAGTGGGCAGTGATGATATAGTCAGCTAAAGCCAAAACAACTAGCAGACTGCAAGTGTAGTTGTGCAATACTCTCTAATTTGCTGGAGCAATTTCTTGAAAATCATGTTCTTGGTATTCTTTGCAGTTCTTGTTTTGACCTTTCCACTCGATGACATCAAGTAGTGGGCTGCGCGCAAATCATGGCTGAGGAAGATATTTAGTCTCAATGATATCCCTCTGTAGGCAAGTAAAAACATTAAAAATCTATGAGGAGAGAAATAAATAAAAGTATCTGTAGGGGAGAAGATTATATTTTAAATTAAGTCTTGCCAGCTAGCTTAATTTTAATTTAGTAATAATTATTAGTTTATGAAATTAAGCATTAAATTTTATTATCAAATGATTACAAAATCTTTAGAATATCAATCGAATACTTTTCCTATTAAACTTCCGCTGAAAGCAAAAGTAATGTCTCCAGTAAGCTTTTAAATCAAAATTTGACTCAGTCAAGTATAACCTTTTTCAAGTAGTAATTGACTTGTAATGTATTCCTGTAAACATACATTCTTGTTATCCACCCAAGACAAAACATTGATAAGAAAAAGTAGAAGGTGCCATTTAGAATGATTGATTTATTATTATCCATACAAACTAGTATTTCTTCCTTGAAATTTCCTTCCAAAAATTTTCTAATTTTTATGTTGTCAATCAATCTGTCCTCATCAATATAGTCTATACTTTTGTTTGCATCTGCAAATGCTCCCCCTTCTAGCTTACTTCTCTCTTCATCCTCAACTACTTGGCTCAGCAACTTTACTCTGTTTTGCCTGTTCTTTATCTTAGCTCCCTAGTTCCTGATGAATTTGGCATCTCCTTCTTCACTACCCAGTCTAGCGACGAAAAGATTGCTCACGTTCTTATCATCAGTCAGCAGTTGAAGTCCCGTGATATTATTATTATAGCTAGTTACTAGTTTAGAGTCTAAATTTTGCAAGGAGTCATTAGACTTGTCATTTAGGTGGCTTTTATTTAATCTGTCAGTTGGTTAGTGATCAGGCTTAGTGGCATCATTATTATTTGTTATTTATGAGATTCTCTCGTTGTGTCTTTTAATCTTCAGGTGTCCAAACACATACTGAGCGAATGCTTTCTTTCTCTATAAAAGCTAAGCTTACCCCTTGGTGCTAAAGTCGAATAACTTATAGATGTTTAGCTTAACAAACTTAGCTTTGAGTTTCTCCGATTTATCTTCCTCTTTAAGTCTAGGACCCTCAATATCCTAGCTTTATTCTTCATTCTCAACTTAGGTATTCTTGCAGACAAAGTTCAACTTTTCTATTTCTGGACTCATGTCTGCCCAAGTATGATACTTGAATTCATCAATAAGATCAATGAGCGAATTCGCAGAAGATTCATCATGATTCTTTATAAATGTAGAGAGGTCCATTCCTGCTTGCATAGATTCAGCAAAACTATTTTTTTATGGCGCACTTTCATCTGTAGTAGGGTTGATCTTTTAGGTAGAGTTATTTCTATTATTTAAATTACTATTATTGGAAGTGATCACAGAAGCTCTGCTTGACATTCTAATCTTCTCTTTAATGATATCAGATTTGTGTTGATAGTTCAGATAGACTACAGGCCTCCACTTTCTATATTCATTTATTAGATGTTTTACTTGCTCGAACTTTTCCTGGTTTTGAATAAGTAATCTCGTTGATGAACAACAGTATTCCAAAATTTACAATAAATACATTGAGAGAGCACCATATAGTATTCTCAAATCAAAGTTAAGACCAAGCAATATTAACAAGACTGTCATTGAGCATAAAAATAGATTGTAAAAAGCTTTATCTAGTGAGATTTCCTTGATTTGATTAGAAATCGGGATCTCAAATCCATGTCTATACTAAAGTTGAAATTAATTTGTTTAATTTATTATTGAACAGCATTATCCGTCTAGTAACCCATCTTTGAATCTACCAGAGTACTCAATGCTAGTGACCTTCTGTTTCAAAAGTGCTTGTCAGAACTAATGATACTAAGGCCACTCCTGCATGTTGATCTTTAATAGACAATTATCTCCATCCAAATAATCATTGAACCAAGTCCCCTCATAACCCAGAATATAAGAATTATTTAATTGAACTTTTTTAATATATTTCCCAAATACCCAGTTTTCTCTTGGATACTACCCTTCATAAAATGAAGCGTCCAAAAATTGCAAATGTATTATACCTTTATTATCATCAGACTGTTCCTCCAAATAATTACCATCATCAAAGTACATTTAAAAATACCTTATGGGATTTATCTCGACATTCATGAAAAAGTAGTCTTAGCTAATACTTACAGAGTTGCTTGCCAAGGATTAATCATTATATATACTACTACTTTTATTATCTTATTTAGGAACATTATTGCTTTGCGAATACAAATGTCTGTTGTTTTATGAATGAAAATCCTAAGTCAATTTCTTCATAAGCACTATCTCTGATTGAAATCTGTCGTTGTTAAACTACACAGACTAGCGAGGCTAAAACAAATCATTATTTTTCATTATAGAATTAGATTTCCTAAATATTTAGTTTAAAGGAGCTAGCCTATTTCCCTATGTTCTACTTCCAGTTTTGTTATTTTCCAATTAATAAATGTATTAATCAACGAAGTTATTGAGATTAACTGAGCCTGAAATTTCTCTGAAAACGTTATTATTACTTTGGCTTAAACTGTCTTAATCTATCATCAAGTGGTTACTAGAATTTTCCATTAATTATAAACCCTCTGAGTTAAAATTGTTTTATAGTTTCAGATTTCCATATAGCTTTTAATGTAACAATTGCTATTATTATTTCTGAAATTAATAATTATCTGAAATTCTATTATTATTACCATTGAATTTCTCTTCTTCATTACACTGATCTTGTTCCCATTATTTCCAAGATTTGACTTTCCTCTTTTTTGATTATTTTTCATCATAAATTAAGTTCGTATTGCTTTCAAATCCACTGCTGTAATACTACTTAAATTAATCATCATTAGAATCATCTTCAAATCGAAGTTACTTAGATAGTGACAGCTAAGAACCATCCATATTACTCTCTGAAGGTTGATAGCCATCATTTAGAAATTTTTTGTTATTTTACTTAGTGTTATTACTTAGCTCATCGCTAGGTCTAATATATTTGAGTCTTATTTGCTAATGCCTTTAACTTGTTGTTGTATCAATATTATTAAGATTAGCCTATCTATCGAGAAATGATTGACTTATTTACTCTTTTTGATTAAGGTTTCCCATTAGACTAATTTTATGAGCTAAATTATTGTCTTAGCTAAAATCCCTACCATGTATATTCTGATTTACTTAGCTTGGTATTTTACTTTTAATATTCACATTCATTAGCATTTTTCCTTTAGAATATTATCTATATGATCTATTCTCACCATCAAAATCTTATTATAATATTTCCTTTCCTATATCTTAATCATGGAGTTTTTATTCATTTTCATTGTAGTAGCTTTATTCTGAATTCTAATAATCTTAATCTTGCTCATGTTCTATTTATTTACCTGAACCAATTACATTATTATTGTGATCATAATTGAACCTCTCATCTCCATTCAAACTTTAATCAATATCGCCCTCTTGCTGGCTCATATTTAGTTTTGATGAAGATTTATCATCTCTCTAAGTATTATCATAGTAGTTTTAATAATTTCTCAAATTTATGCTCCTCTTTGGCTAATACTGATTATCATCCATTTTATTAAAACTACTTTCCTCCTATTCCTATACTATAGACACTAATGATCGATTATCTATTGATTCGATTTACATGCTTGATTTTTAATTACTTCAATCCAAGAATGTAAACTCCTTCTCTACTTAATTAATCTTACTGTTCACTTCACTTTCTTCGTCTAGCTCAAATATAACTTTCTTGTATGATGTACGAATTTATGGATTTTTATGAACTTTTTAAGTAGATTTACTGCTGAAGTATTTATTAACACTACTGAGTACTTTTCTTTGTCTTGGGTTAAGAGTGTCATCAATATAATCGCCAACTACTTTTCAATCAATTTTCATAGATTTTTATTTGTTATAAATGCTTTAAGAATCGAATTCCTGCTAATTTGTATTTTCTACCTCCTAATCATTTTCAATTGAGTCATTCATTCTCTTTAAAACTTAAGATTAATCTATAGAATTTAATATATTAAATTAACACAGTCAGGATTAAAATATGGAAGAAATCAATGAATCTGTCAATGCTGTAGAGCATTCAGATGCTAACCATTTATAGTCTCAAAATTTAGTTGATATATAAAATATTGAATAAGTAGAGCCAGTTGAAATAAATGAGACCAAATAAGACATTGATGATAATAGCAAGGCAGAAGTTGACGATGTTAAGGAAAATGATGAGGATTAATAGTTTGACCCTAATGATTTGAACAGAGAGAAATTTGATTACGTTGTATTTGGAAGTGGACTAACTGAGAATATACTAGGAGCGTATGATATCTTTAAATTTAAGTTTATGATCTTTTAGAGCATTAGCGATTTCTGGGTAGAAGTGCTTATTTCTTGATCAGGCAGACAGATATGGTGGAAACATTTTGAACTTTAATCTTGAGCACTACTTTAACTATAGTAACATTCCGAATATCCTTAACGCTCATAGTTCAACAATAATTGAATAAGTAGCAATGCAAAGATGATACAAAACAAGAGAATGAATTCAGTCAAGATTCAGCTTTTCACAGTTTCTAAATCATTCATACATTCTAAAAGGTATAAATATCTTTCAGTATCAAATCTTAATCATTTATTGTCCATTTCAGACTGGAAAATTCAAGGAAGAAAATGAATATAGAAAATACTCAAGATAATTTAACATAGACCTACAGCCAAAGTAAGTTCTTAGTAGTAATTAATATCCTAGGATCTTGTATTCAAAATCAATAAGTGTGAGTGAGCTGATCAGAAGCGGAGTAAACAACTACCTTGAATTCCAAAGTGTCGCTGAGAACTTTTTCTTTGCTAATGGCACTTTCCAAAAGATTCCCTTCTCTAAATCAGAGGTGTTCTCATCATCATTGCTTACATTTAAGGAGAAGAGGTAGCTAGTGAAAGTCATGGAGGCTTGCTTAGCAGGTTATGATAAGATTGCTCAGAGGGAAATAACCAAGGAAAAGATTAACTCCACTCACACATTCGAAAAGGAGATTGACATCAACTTAGAGGAGCAGGCTAAGATACTTGACAACAAAGACAAACCAATCAGAAGTTTCCTAGAATCGATGGGCATTGAAAAGAAAATGCAGGATATTTTGTTGTATGCAATTGGGGGTATTAATGAGAATCAATTTGTTGACGAGCAGATCAACTTAGAAAAGATCACTACATTCTAGTTCTTTGAAAGGATACAGAAGTACTTGAGATCAATAGGCTATTACGGTGATTCCCCATTTATGGTCTGTGTCTATGGCACTAGCGAGTATTCCCAGGCTTTTTCAAGGTAGTCATATTTAAGATAATTTATAACCACTTTAGAGCTGGATCAATACATGGATGTATTTACATAGTAAATGATGAACTTAAGATGAGTGATTTGGAGTTCTCTGATAAGGAAGAAAGTAAAAAGGGATTTGATAGAATTACTATCAGCTATAGTAAGTTCCATTTAGACTTTAATTTATTTTTATATAGATACTAATCCAATAATTGCCAAAAAAGGTATCATAGTGGGACCTGAATATCAGTCTTGGATAATCAAGCAAGCTGGAGTAGAGATTAAATAAGCCAGAAAAGTACAGGCAAGTATTATGAGATTGGCAATAATAACGAAGAAACCTTTAATGGAAAATCAACATGAACTGGCTACCTACGTTATCCCACCAATGACTGAAGGCTTTAATAATCCAAACCCTGTGAGAGTGTTTTAATCGAATGACTATACCTATGCTGTACCATCCAAGCACTATCTGATACTAGCCTCAATGTCTATCAAGCCAAATCCAACAGATGAAGAAATGAATACAAACAAATAAGTTTTTAGGCAGTTCCTTAAGTAATTTTATGACTATGAATGGGATCACTCAGATCTCAATAAGGACATCTACATTGTTGAATAAGTCAAGGAAACTCCAATTCAAGAGAATGTTGAGGGAAATTTAGATAAAGAAGAAGTTAAGCCAGAGAAGACTGATGAAGTTGTGCATGAGCAGTAATAGAAATAAGAAGAATCTAAAACAGATTAATAGCTGTAAGAGAGTGATATCATATTCGCAGTGATGTATGTGCAGGATTACAAGCAAGACTTGGACGACTTAGAGAAGCAAAATTTCAGCAATACTACATTTATCAAGGACACGCCCTTTGACACAGATATCGACCAAGCCTTTGTAAGTTTAAAATGCTATTGATTTCCATTAGAACGAGGCTTAGAGTCTGTTTTATGAGAAGCTCGGGAATAAAGACTTGAAGTTCCTGCAGAGATCAGACGAAGAAGAGGAAAAGTATCGAGAGATGCATAACTACGACGAGGATGATGACAGTGATGAAGATAAGGTAATCGCTGACTTAGAGACAAACATGGTTTCTAATAACGCAACCAACACACCTGCTACCTTGAATGAAGAGCCTGAAAGTGAAAAATTGGATTAGCTAAAGCAAGATGGAGAAGTTGATACTAAGAAGGTAGAAGACTAGATGCTAGATGATCTGTTAGATGATCTTATTGGTGATAACGAAGATTGATGATCTAATGATAAAATATCTGATTCAAATTTAATTATTTTTATTTCATTAATCATTCTAGAAAAAATAGAATCTTTTTTACTCTTGGGGTTTTGGGGTTTTGGGGTTTTGGGG